TGGGCTTTACTCCTGTACCTGGAGCTGCTGACAGCATGCCAGGCATGTTCTTGGCACCAGGACAGACAGCTGCTCCGAAGGAGATGGCAACATGGTGAATATTTTGGAGTTATTAAGATAGTGTTATTAGTAAACATGCACAGGTTTGCCTGACTGTCATTCAATATCCACCCATCAGTGTGTGTCAGCCATCTAGCAGAACTGCTCTCTCTTTGACCATGTCAAGAGGGCAGAGGGACTGCAGGGGCAGCCGAATCATCAGACTGCTATTAAGGAGGCATCAGCAAATGTATTACCCTTCTGGTTTAAAGAAAACCAGCAATTACTAGCTCTTAGAAAAGTTCTTACGATATGAAGTAACAGGGAACTAGAGAAAGATTTAAATTCCAAGCTCCCCGTAGCAGTCCTCTATGTGAAAAGATCTAATTGACAGTTATAATAGATCATAGAACTTTGATGTCATAATGATGCAACTGGGGATTTAAGTTTTCCAATGAATGAGAATAGCTTGTGACTCCATTCCACGGCTATTTAAAAGAAAATCTTTGTGTGATCTATTTGCTGGAATTTTGTCAAGTACTTAAAACCATTTATTTACCCTTGGTTAGTGAATGCTTCCCCCACATCTTGTGCCTTTGGATACTGGCCTTAGTACCTTACTAAGTGATTCAGTAAGGTGTGAAAGAGGCACTGTCAGGCTGACAAATCTGATCTCTGTTCATGGTTGATATTATTTGCTCCTCCCCCCCATAAGTAACTGAGCAAAGCCAAAATACATTTGCAAAATGTTTTGATGTCAATCTATTTTGGGGGGATAAAAAAATTCACCCAAGTCAAGTTCCAGCAACAAATAAAAAGGGCATCAACCGCAAGCTGGAATTAGAGAGCCTCACCTCCTAAACAGACACCTAACCAAGATCAGATAACAGTGCTTAAAAGAGCAATCACCACACAGTTGCCTCTAAAACAGGGGTGGACAATTATTTGGGCCCACAGGCTACACAGAGAGCTTTGCTGAGCTGTCACAGGCCAGGTCAGCACTGCAACCCCTCCCCTCCCGCGCAGCAGCTCACCAAAACTCCCTTTGTGGGATGGGGCCATGGGTGGGCAGGGAGCGGTGTCATGGGGACCAGGGCAGAGCTGCAATCCACTGCCCACATGCCCCTGTGATGGACAAGGGTGTGCAGGGAGCGGATCATGATTCCACCCCAGCCCTGCTCTGTCACTGCCCCAAGATCCCAGTCCCAGCCCCGGACCTTGTCATGCATCCACAGGTGCATCACAAGTAGAGCCAGGGAGGTGATCCTCCCCCTCTATGCAACGCTGGTCAGGCCACAGCTGGAGTACTGTGTCCAGTTCTGTGCGCCCCATTTCAGGAGGGATGTGGACAACATGGAGGGGGTCCAGAGGAGGGCCACCCGCATGATCCGGGGACAACAGGGCAGACCCTACATTGAAAGACTGCAGGACCTGAACCTGTTCAGCCTTCACAAGAGAAGGCTGAGGGGGGACCTGGTGACTGTCTATAAACTCACTAGGGGAGACCAGAAGGGTTTGGGGGAGACACTGTTTCCACTAGTGCCCCCTGGCATGACAAGGAATAATGGACACAAATTATTGGAGAGTAGGTTTAGATTAGACATCCGCAAGAACTACTTCACAGTTAGGGCGGCTAGGAGCTGGAACCAACTTCCAAGGGAAGTGGTGCTGGCTCCTACCCTGGGGGTCTTTAAGAAGAGGCTTGATCCCTACCTGGCTGGAGTCATTTGGGCCCAGTTTTTCTCCCGCCCAGGCTGGAGGTCAGACTTGAAGATCTACAAGGTCCCTTCCAACCCGACTTCTATGATTCATATGATTCTATGATGCAGCTCCCCGTCCACTTGGCCATGCACCCTGCCCGCACAGCTCCCAGCCAGTCTCCATGAAGCCTCTGGAATCGCAGATCAGTGGCAGCACAGGGCCAGGGCAGAGCCATGATGCACTCTCTACACGTCGCTGCCCACAGAACCGGGCCTTGCCTTCTGCTGGGCCCTGGCCCCAGCCTCACACTGTCACTGCCCTACGATCCCAGAGTCACCCTGGAAACCAGCCAGGAGCCATGCAGGCAGGGCACGCAGCCAGGCAGACGTGATGGGGCTGCAGACAGGTAGGAAACTATGTCTGGGGCTGGGGCCAGTATCTTGGGGTGGTGACAGCATGGGGCCCGGCCTGAGCAAAGCCGCAATCTGCTCCTGGCATGCCCCCGCATGCAGAACCCACACTCCTCACAAGGGCATCTGGGCAGCAAATCATGGCTTTGCCCTAGGCCCCAGCCCCACACTGTTACTGCCCCAAGATCCTGGGGTCCCCTTGGCCCCACCTGCTTGTCTCACTCGTGGATGTCAGCCCAGAGCCCCATCCCAGCAACCCAACCAAGCACCCTGCCTGCGTGGGTCCTGTCCCCAGTAGTGGGTGCAGGGCAGATGAGCTGGAGTGCCTAGGCAGCAGGGCTAGGTCTGGCAGTGGCAGCCAGAAGGAGCCACTGCCACCGGGGCTGCCATTCAGCTGCCCCAGTCCCGCTAAGCACCTGTGGGCCAGGCAAGACCGAGGGATCTACCCTGGGCTGCACAAAATCCTTCAGTGGGCCAAATCTAGCCCATTTTTTGCCCACCTCTACTTTAGAAACTCTTTCACTCCCAAACACGCTACTGGAATCTCCCGTTATCCAAATGAGCAGTTCTCTTCCTAAGTACTTAACTTTTCCAGGCACCCACGCAGCAGAGTAGGCCACCTAGGATTGATGAAACTGAGGTTGTACAAGGACAGCTTGCAGTTCTGTCAGCACATCAATGTCTCACCTTCTTTTGCAGCTGCCTGGACAGCACCCCACATCTTGTGAATATATCCACTAGGGCTGTATGAAGCTTCAGTCCCCGATTCGATTCGGCAGAGAATTGGCCCGATTCGGTGGCCAAATCACTGAATCCAAATTGAATCAGAGAATCCTTTAATCTCTCCGAATCAAATCAGAAGCCTCCAAATCAATTCAGAGAGATTCAGAAAGATTTGGTGACTTGGACATAGACACAGCTTTAAGTGTTTTTTCTACATACCTCACGGTAGCAGGTAGCTCCTGAATGCTGCGATGCTGGGGCGCATGGGGTGTCCGACAAGAGCATGGGGGGCCCCCCAGTGCGCTCAGCAGCAGACCCAGAAGTGGACCAGAAGCACTTCTGGTCCACTTCTGGGTCCACCGGAGAGCATTTTGGGACCCACCCCAGCTCAGCAACTGGTGCCTCCTGGGTCTGGGTGGGGGCACCCGGAGTCCCCCCACAGCCAATTGCCAAGCCAGGGGCCCCCCCAGTGCACTCCCCAGCAGACCCGGAAGCGGACCGGAACTACTTCCGGTCCACTTCTGGGTTCACTGCCAAACACGTGGAGGGTCCCCCCCACACTCCTGTGGGACGCTTCGTCCGCCCCAGCATTGAAATCTTCACAAGTTGCACTGGTACCTCGAGGTACACAGAAAAAACAGTTAAAGCTGTGTCTGTGGCCAAATTGCTGATTCTCTGAACCAGCAGGGAATGTTAAGACTTGGATTCGGCCAAATCGAATCAGGGACAGTGATCCAAATCAATTAATCAAATCACTGTCCCTGATTCAGGCCGAATCCGAATCCAATAGGGCCTGTTTTGTACACCCCTAATATGCACACCAACTGGGATCTTGCAAGGGGAGCTCAAGAGGAATGTACCTGAGATGGCCAAAATGCAGTATCTTTCTCCAACATAATGAAATTCTGTCTGCCTCGAAAAGCGTGTGAGGAATGCTGCCATGCAAGCTTTCAGCTTCATGTGGAATTTCAAGTATTTAGTAATGGTCATTCCTAGATATTGATTAGAGTTGGGTTTTTGAGACAAGAGGTGGCAACAATGTGGGAAACTGTCTTGTAGTTCTACTTTTCATTAGGAAGCACAAAGTTCACGATTTTGTGTATTAAGCCATTTGTATTAAGTAGAGGACAGTCTGTTCCCTGGGCACAGAGTAGGAAGTTCATTAACATGGAGGGTAACAAGGCTCATGGAAGGAGACAAGGCTCGTGGAAGGCTTTGAAGTGGAGAACCAAAACCATATCGGATCCTCTATTCAATGGACAGCCATTGTACAGGGCAGTCGGTTGCTGAGCAGATGGGCAACTGAGTTCTGCACAAGCAGGAGACAAAGTTGGTAGTTCTTCCTATTTTATTTCCACTTAGACTAGCTGAAAATGGCTTGTAGGGGAATGGACATTCTGATCTATTTATCAGGACATTGGCTGTGCAGTATAGTAGCACCCGTTGCAGAGTCTGTGACTAATACAATGTGGAAACAGAACTCCAACATGATCCACCATGACTTGGGGTTAGCCCATGCCATGACAAGTTGTTTGCACTGTTACTGTGGTAGAGTGCAACTGGAGAGAACAAATTCCACAACAATGCAGTTAAAACAGAAACATTTGGAGTTCTCCTTTTAGATGCCTATGTCCTTAGTCATTCGGTTTTTATTAATTTGTTGTTTATGTGCATCATGAAACCTGATCACTGTGGTGAATCTCAGAAATTAGGACACACCTAGTCATGCTAAACATAAGAATTAAAATTCCACCCCCCAGTATATATGTTGCCACAAAGCTTCAATTATGGGATCAATTTGGTCCACTGTGTTGAGTGCCAGTGCATTTCAAGAAATTATTATGCAGCCATCATAACTAGCAAATACAATTTCAAGTTCACACACCATCTTTTTCTGATTCATGCCTAATCAGTTACTATTGTTGTGGTGTTTAAGCAGCACACCCTGATACCGTTTCAAGTAGGTTTCTCAATATAACAAGAGAAACAGACAGGAATGGATAAGCAGAAGGAGAGTTCCCGAGACGGTCCATACAGTAACTCACGAGCCACTAGGGAGCAAAAAAAGGATGTAATCACAAACAAACCACACTACTTCTGGGTGAAGTAAGCCTACCCATAACTCACAATCATACAGGGCAGTCATGTCTACTCTGTTCTAGTGAATAAGGTGATTGAAATGTCTAAAGTAAAAAGAAACAACAGGGATTAGAACAATATGATACAACAGGATTAAAACCGATGCAACACAGCTAGATGCCACACTAAAGGGAAAGCAAAGCAAGTGATTTTCAGTTTCCTATAGCAATGTATGGTGAAACAAAGCAACAAGACTGTAAAAGCTAGCAAGCTTACATGAAACCATTGGACCTTTGTACACAGCAAAAAGTGTGGTGTTTCTTGTGCTGTAACTGCGTGACTGTTTGCACAAGTGGGATTTCCGCATGCTTTAAAAGTCTTTCTGGTACATTAAAATAAAACTTCTCAGACATGGTTTAGTTTGGATCACCAGGAATTAAAGTGTTGTGTCCATGGATTCATTGTGTGCAAACACAGAGAGGTGCTCAAAGACATGTAATGACCCTCTTTGCCCATCAGATGGCTGCAACTTTTTTGTAGTTCACCCCTTTGAATTGCTTTTGAATTCCTTCTGCTCTTATTTTTTTCTTGTGAGGTCTCCCAGCTTCCCTACTTCTACAGCTGCATGGCAGGGCATGGGTGGGGGTCCCAGGCTGGGGTCAGCGCTAAACCATCCCACTCTCTCTCCTGCAGCGCCAGCTGGGTACCAGGCTTAATTTGTCTGAAAACCTAGTGCATGCAAACACTGATGCAATGCTCCAAGGCTTAATTTGTTTGAAAATCGAATGCGTGGAAATGCTGACACGACACTCCAAAATAAACAAGTTTAAATTTTATAAAGCTATTTAATTTAATGCGAATTAAAACCTGTGGGGTTTACAAGTGCCCATGAGCATCACTGGCCTTACATGCCATCTGTCTAGAACACTGCCTATAGATAATGATATGTATGAATAGGGACTGGATCCATGGACATGCTCAACAGGGAGTGTGACTAAACTGCAACACCAGCATGTATGTTCTAGCAACTTCCAAAATTTTGTACAGGGAGAGATTGGGAAGCAAGAGTTATTCTGAGACTCAAGGGGTTGAGGGGCCTTCTGCAGTAAACCATTCCCCCAGAACCGAGCTCTGCCAGACAGATACAGCTCAGTAATGGTAGTATGAATGCACACTGCTTTACAGAACTCCATAAGAACAAAGATGTTGCATCACCCTGTGAGAAGAGCTGTCATAGTCTGGGATCTGTTTGGCCTGTTAGACAGAGTAAGTGGGGAGCCATGGTCCAGTCTTCTGCCCTTCCTCCCTTTCCCCCTGTTCAGAGAACTCAGGATTATTGTCCATAAAGAGTCCTGGAATTCCTCTGCATAACTACCTAAGCTAGAGTATCAGTTTTTTCTGCTTTTCCTGACCAGCCTTTGTAGCTCTGTGACTTGCCTGAGGTACTAGCAAAAAAAAAAACAGGTAAAAGGTGGTTTCACCTCTGGACAACTTTTACAGGGAGTGGCATCTACACAACAAGTTAGAGGATTTCCTGAGTGCGTATAAGTGTGAAAGAGTAAGCTTTTCATTCTAACACAAGTTAATACTGTACTATATGTTACTCTGAAGACACCATATTTCTGTTCACTGAGATCAAAAGCTTGCTTTGTCTATGAGCAGCACATAACAACTGTTTTTAAAGTACCAGTAATTGCAACATTTGTGTTTCTGGTCCAGGTTCCATTCTTCTCAGGGAAGAGGTAGCTTTCCCTAAGACTTGCCCCACAAGCTTGTGTAACAAAGCAGGTTTCCTGGAAACAGTTTCTCTTGATGTTAAGTTGTGAAAGCTTTTAGTCACATGGGTGAGACTTTTTAGTGATAAGAAATCCAGTGTTTACATCCTTTGAATTCAGTGTTCTCATTTCTGTTCCTTAGGGCAGGATCTGTTTCAAATAATTCCGTGCTAAACCACGCCATGCAGAATAGAGCCTCCAAGCCAGTGAATATATGAAGACTAAACCTTATCCAGTCAATAGATCTGGTACCAACACAACTTTATCAAGTTAAGACAGTTTCGTTTAACATCTTTAAGACAAAGGACTGTGAATGGCAGGAAACTAGCTGCAATTGAAAACAGCCAAAAGATAGGAGCAGTAATAATCAAGCCAGGTCAGTAGCACACCTGTAGTGCACTAATGTTTTAAAGTGACTGTAGTTTCTGATATATGAGATGACAGAGCTTGTTCAGTAGGCCTTTGCAGGATAGGTGCACACAGAGATGAGTCTCACATCTTAATAATAATGCACTTGGAAAGGTTTTCAAATCCCATCCCTGATCACTAGCTCCATTTTATACTATTGAGGTTCCAGCAAGGCACTTATTTCAAAGTTCATTCACTGCTAAACAAGTCACTTAGGCTTAGATCCACAAAGGCACCTACGATCAATTAAAAATTCAGTCACTGCCTGAGAGCTGCACAAATGTTAATCAGCTCAGCGAAGCAGTCACATGTTAAGGCAAAAAACCTGCTCTGACTGCCCCTCACCTGCACAGCTGTGACTTGCCGCTAGAAGCCTGGTGAGCAGGGGCAGGATTAGGAGCTAGGGGACAGGTTCACTGCTGCTGCTGGGCACAGCAAGTGCTGCAGCCCCGGAGCACCTGGCAGCCACAGTGTCTCCCGTCACGACTCAGACCAGCTCTGCTCCCAGCTCTGCCCCAGCAGGGAGCAAAGCAAGCCAGTCAAAGCGGGAAGGGTGGGACCAACGAGTGTGGGGGGTACTGCCTCAACTTGGTCCACCTTGCTTTGCTCCCAGCAGGTACAGAGCCAGTTGGAGCAGCAGTGGAGAAGTGGTGCTCCCCTGCCCACTCCTCCCGCCCCCCAATCTTGGACCAGCTCACTCTGAGCAGAGCCAGCCACAGCAGTACCAGGAGGCACCATGGTGCCAGACACTCTGGGGATGTGGTGGTCGCACTGCTGGATGTGCCCCAGTGGGGGGCAAGGTGCTGTGCCCAGCCCCACAGTGCCCTTTTGTCTCCCCTCACCATGACCCAGGAGGGCTCACTGCCCCCTGGGATGCTGTAGGACTTCACCTTGGGTGGAAAAGCTGTGGAAAGTGGCCATAAATTAATGGAACAGGAACAAAATTAGGCAGATTGCAGATAATGCTGCCTTGGAATGGCGTAACTTTTAGATGAACAATGAGTGCTTTAAGTCACTCAAAGGGTATTAATGTGCAGCCAGTCCAGGGGTTAAGAGCTCCAGAAGCTGCCTAAAGTTACTGTGTAACAAGGCCTTTAAAAATGTGGAGCTGAGAAACAGTGTTTAAGTAAATGCTGATCCTCTTCTTAGTTCTCTCTCCTCAAATTTTAACTCTTCAGAAGTCACAGAGACCAAGGATATCCCATTCTTAGTTTGACAGATTTTGTAGAGCTGTAAGAACTAATTGGCCGAAGTCAGTATGGTCTCTTTGTACTGCTTCTTGAGATAAGCAACTACTAGTCAATACAAAGTTGGCTAAACAGAAAAGAAACCAATGACGAGTACTTATTCAAGGAACAGAAGGGGAAACCATCTTCAAAGTGGTATGTAAATTGTATTTGTTGAATACCAGCTACAAGCGACAGCAAATTAAAAATTCCATAAACCACACTTAAACAATTTGGGTATTTACACTTGCCCAGGTACATGTTCAGAGCTGCAAACCTGCCTGGCCAGTGCACAACCTATCTAATACACTCAATTAGTACAAAGGATCTTGTGTATCCACAATGAACATGGCACAAGATTGCAAAGTGTGCAGAAGTGCCAGAAACAGCACTTATGCAGCTGGATAAGTTTGTAGTGAACTACAAGAATGCAAGCTTTGCACCACATGCAGTAGACTTGGATGGTTTCAGGCAATTATGTCTGCAACATGTAAACTACAAGTAAAGAAAGAGGTTGAGGTGGGGGAGAGGGCAGGGGAGGGGAAAGAAAGGACAAAGCCATGTATGGTCCATACATGGCATTTATGGATTTTAATGGCATGGCTGCTTGCATGAAAACACCTATTTTACAGGAAAAATACCAGAGAAGATGGTCCATGGTGGAAGGCAAAAGTACCTCATTAGGCACCCAAAATAGTCAAGAGGGAGATAGAGAGCTCCCCAAATGTATCATTCTTATGGCCCACATATTGACATGCAAAATGGGGATTCTGTTACTCTACGTGCCAGTTAAATCTACTGATAAACTACATCTCAGCAAAAAGGATTTAGTCAAGTCTTTACAACCAACAGGAAATAAAAGCATCCTAGAACACGCTACCTAGCAGTTATAGAGCAGAGGCAAAGACACCTCAGCATTGTATTTCAGTTACAAATGTGTCTTACCCCAGGGGTGTCTGGCTTGGGCCAGATCTAAACCAGGGGGCTCTGAAATCCAGCCTGCAAAGAGCACTCAACAGCTGTGGTACAGCCAGTGGTGCAAGTCATGAGGCAAAACAGCTGCACGATGAATGGGTGGCTGTGTCCACACAGCCCTCAGTCACCTCCCAGCCACTGACAGCCATGTCCAACGGGGTCCTGGAGCCCTGGACTGTGTGGCAGGCTATTGCCTCTCCACTTACCATGCTCCCAAATACCATGCTGACCAGTAGCCCAGTAGGCTGGATGGAGTGGCTCTGGAGGCTGGATTCAGCTGAGGAGCTGCATGTTGGACCTTCCCATCTTACCTGATCAAACTGATAGTTAGGGCCAGCAGGTCCAAATGGCTAACATCATTAGAACATTAAAAAGGGTTAAATCAGGCAACTATAAGAAGGTTTGGGTCCTCTGAACCTTTGTGAGAAAGCTGTATATAGCAAAATACATACCTCTAAACTCATAACCCTGAAAGGAAGAAAAGATTTGATTTTAAAATCAACTCATGGCAGATATTACATAGTTTTAAAAGAATTCAGATCAAAATATTGTAATCCCTGAGGTATTTTTTAACTATTTTTTTTGTTCTCTCTCAACTTTTATCCACAAAGAAAGATGGATTTACAGTATGCCCCCTTTTATTTTAAGGCAAGTTTTTCCTTTTTAAAACTCTTGCAGTTTTT